CCTATAACACCTTCTAAACTTTGACATCTAACACCTTCCCCACTCCCCAGCTTTTCCTACCTTTCCAACAGCCATCTCTATTTTCCTTGAACATTGTTCCTATACCTTCCCCAGTGACAGATACACTATAATCTACTTTAGTTCATTTACTCCCCTTTTTTTCAGTTTCAATATCATACTATCCTATAATGCTCTCTAATCTTTTGACATGTAACACATTTTATCCTAATCTTTAACTCCTCTCTACCCTTTCCGATACAATACTTTACCATAGTGCTTTATAACCTTTTATGTCTAGCACATTTATTTGTTTCAAACTGTAAACATTATGTAGCATCACTGCATGTAGATATTATGCTTTGAAGTGTAATTTTCCTTCTTATTTGTGGTAAAGAAAAAACACATTTTTTATATATTTTTTATTATTCTTGAAAGCCTTTATCACATAGGTATAATTAAATGCCCTATTGGCAATGCACAGCACAGGAAGCAGCTAATTTTCTTTACCTAATATGGAACACCTCAACATTCTATTATCAGTAAGAACCTTTTCTATTTGTATTCCTCAAAATGGACAAAGCTTAATAATAATAATAATAAAGAAAAGAAATAAGAATATATATGATAGCTGACAGCATATGTTAAACTTTGATTTGTTTCTATAATGTCCTATTCCATACAACTTTACACATAATGAAAAATTTAATATTAGCTGATTTTAAGATTCACTCCTCAGGCCCAGCCTGCCAGCAATCGTTGTCTCTATTGAATGTTGATTTTTCTCTTTACAACAGCATGTAAGTGTGCAAAGTTGAGAATCATGTAGTGAACTGCTTTTCATAAAAAAGGCATTTGATCTATACACTAGTCAAGCAGCAGCACTAAGAGGGCAAGGTCTAAAAACTAGTGAGGGCTGGATCTAGGAACTCACTCTTGAGAAATGTAAGCCCAAAGCAAAATAACTGTTCTTGTGAAATCAGCTAAGAGACCATTCCTAAGGACCTAAAGATTAACACTGTCATGCAATACATGACAGTGGTAGTCAGCTGTCTGCAATACTTCTTTCCTTTGGATTTAAAAATAAACTGCAGTTCCATTTTCATTTTAGATGACAAGAGACATCTGTAACAGATGCTATAGACAAACATTTTTGTATTTTGTTATCTGTTTAAGTATCTATGTCTATAGATTTCACTTATGCATCAATATAAATCACTGGGATATATAATATAACTTTCAATACTATACACAACAACTTCAATAATAAAACTCGCATAAAAATTATGGACACAGGTGAAGTATTCAAAGCAATCTAATAAGGTCACTCACATATTAACAAAATGTTAAATTCCAGTTTTAAATCAATAAATTCACAAATTCAACAGATGACAATAGTCTAAAAAGGCAAAATGAGAGATAAAGACTATAACCATAGTGTCATTCTGAGAAAAAAATATAGTACCTAAACTCTACAAAAAATTATGGCAAATAAATATTTTGAGAATCTAAAAATGAACTCTCTGCTAATTGACTACTACGACATTTGTCTCTATAAAACAACCATTAATGTGTATAATTGTGCACAACTGACTTTGATTTATTTTGCTATTTAATTTAGTTAATAAATAAAAACATATTTTCATACTTCAAATAACTTTTTCTTGAACAAAACATAATGTATTCTTGGGAAATAAAATGAACATTAGTATGGTATTAGATTTGGTCTAAAGTATTAATCTGATTTTTTAATCTATTATAAAAATAAATATCAAAAGAAATGTCTTTTCATTAATACAATTATCATGTGCACCAGTGCCTTATTTAACAGTGATGTTACATTTCTTTGGCTTTATCAGATTAATAAAATGTACATAGAGTAATCATATTCTTCATTAACAATTGAAATGAATGTTAAGAAAACCATTGGTTCACAATCTGAAGTCTTCAAATGTTTACCATGTGCTACATGAAGCTATATTCTATGGTTTACATTACTGAATATTCCAAGACTATTTCGTCATGTAAAATTTCAGCATATGTAAGTAATGAGAACATGCCAAAGATATCTTCTGAGCCTTTAACCACGGGTGACTTTCTAAAAGACTTTAAGAGCTTACATAAACTGTCATGACTGGCCTTGTTTGATACAGTATTTTCAAATATGAAGCTCATGTGGCTGCAGAAACACATAAATATATATATATATATATAATGTATAAATATGTAACATGAACATTACCAATTTGTATTTGCACCTTATTTGTATATTTGGAACACATGTGGTAAGTTTTGTAACTTGCCGTACTTGGTACATACAACAGGATCACACTCAAACTTTGCATAAAATAATGGCACTTAATTCAATAGCGTCAAAAAAGGGAAACAAAAGGATATAACTATATTAGAGATAAATCAGAATCATTGGCTGCGATAAACTAATCTGGAGTGTAATTGAAATGATATGTCCTGTGTAAAAGTAAAATGACTTCCAAGGGTATAC